CGCGCGGCGGGCGGCAGCTCGAGGCCGGCATGCGCGGCATCCTCATCACCTGCAACATGAACGAGCGCAAGTGCGTGGGGGAGGCCTACAGCCTGCTCGGCGAGTACGGGGACCTGCTCTACGGGCCCGAGCAGGTAAGCGCCCCTCGTGCCGCGGGAGGCAGCGGGGTTCGCGCTCCCTTACCGAGCACTGAAGCAGCGGCCGCGCTGCTGAGGGGCTTTGCCCAAACGCAGCGGCCACCCCTGCGTGCTCTCACACCCCGGGGCCGGTTCCCTGGCGCTTACCCAGGTCGTGACTTGTGCCAACAGTTTTCAGACCCCGAGGAACGGCTGTCGGGAAGCGAACGGGACGAGGATGAGGAGGACGACGTCGAGGCAGCCCTGAGGAAGGAGGTGGACCAGATCCGCACCTCTACGGAGCACAAGCTGCGGCGGTTCCAGTCGGTGGAGAGCGGTGCCAACAACGTGGTCTTCATCCGGACGCAGGGAATAGGTGCGGATGCGGCGCCGTGGGACAAGCCGCTCGCCACAGCCTGAGCCGCGCGCCACAGAACACAACTCCTGAGGAACAAGCTTATACCAAACAAATACAGGGTTTCTCCTTCGCTGTCGCTTCCCCACCATATTTTGTCAATACCAGAGTCACTTCAGGTGGTACTGGCATGACTTTAGCAAAACTTGGTTTGGGTAAAGTAAAACTACTCCTTTCAGAAAAGAGTTTCATGCAGACAGCAGTTCAGCCAAGCATGTTCTCCCAGCTTAGCATACAAGGGGGAGGAGGGAAGAAAATGCCTCCAGCTTGTTTCTCATACCTTCCTCTTTTTCTTGTAGAACCTGAAAGCCTGGTACACCATATATTAAAGGATATGCATACTACTAAAAAGAAGAAAACGAGAGTCATTCTGCGCATGTTACCTATTTCTGGAACTTGCAAAGCTTTTATGGAGGATATGAAAAAATACACGGAAACGTTTTTTGAGCCTTGGTTTAAAGCCCCTAATAAGGGTACTTTTCAGATTGTTTACAAAGCTCGTAATAACAGTCATATGAGTAGGGAAGAAGTAATTAAGGAATTGGCAGGTATGTATGTATTTCACATAGAATCAAAACAAGTATATAATCTGCTCAATAGTGTGTGCAGAATTTCGGTGAGATTATTCCAGCAGAATAGGCTTAATCGGCCTTCATTTTTGTTGCTAAAATCTCAAATGTGTTGAATTACAAAGCTTTGTCCTCTAAGATTGTGAATCTGAATTCCTTAATACTGTATTGAAATAACATTTTTTGCTATTCCTCTTGAATACATGACTCATGAAATAGCTCTACCTTAATTAAGTATCTATTACTTCATAGGTGCAAGAGAATAGATTTTCAGTTACCGGGTATCTTCTAAGAGCAGTGCTCTGATCTGCTATTTTGAGCAATTACAGTAACTATATTTTAAGCAATTACAATTACCAGTAATTGGTTACAACCACGGGATATGTTGCTTCCCCTCTTCTTTCATTAGGGTGTGCTAAAGCTATTTTTCCATCCTTTTAAACTATTTCTTCTTTTATAGGAATTGTGGGAAGCCTCAATCCAGAAAATAAAGTGGATCTTAATAACCCCCAGTATACTATTGTGGTGGAAATAATAAAAAACGTCTGTTGCTTGAGTGTGGTGAGAGACTATGTTCTGTTCAGAAAATACAATCTACAGGAGGTGGTGAAGAGCAACAAAGAAGATGCACAGCAGAAGCCATCAAGTGTGACTGAAGAAAAAGACTCAAAGGTAGAAAAAACAGAAGCGGAAGAGGAGGAGAACTCAAAAGAAGTAACACAAGAGAACAAGAATGATGGTGAACTAGAAACCAAGCCCAAGGAGAATGATATACTTACAGTGTAAAAGATATGGTAGAGGGGAAAGATAAAAACAAAGGAAATCTATTAAAAATGCCCTAGAGTTCTGAAAGGGCTTTGTAAAGAGCAGAGTGGGTTTTCATTTGGAGTCTTGTTTTTTAAATCCACATGTGTAAGAATTTTAATGCTCACGGTATATCTGCAGGTGGAGCTGACGTTATTGCCGACATAACAGTGCTCAAAAGAGAAAGGTGAAACTTGCTGTCATTCCTCTGCAGCTTTGTTCTGCATTGCCTTTACTTAACAGAGAAAGAACGTGTGTGTATACATCACATATGTGGCCAGCCCGACTCTCCCTTATTGTATCTAACGACTGCAGAAATCAAAAGACATTGCAGAATTAGTCCTAGCAGCATGTAGTGGCAGAAGGGAGAAATCTTGAAAAGGCAGTTGTTTGCAAGAGGATTTTTAGGGAGGTGAGTGATGTCACAGTCTGGGTGATTGCAGAACTCTCAGATATATTTTGTATGTACGCAGAACAGGATAAAACTCCTGATCCTTTCCTGTATTATGAAGGGATATATACACACACACCACACACACAGTCATCCTTCTACAAGAATATTCTGAGTCTTTATGAGAAGAACTGCTATGATTAAAATACTTGAATATTTGTGCAAGAATGTACAGTAATAGGCTGTTCTAGAATACGGTGCAGGCATTGCAAAGGATTTTAGCAAAACTACGTTTGTGTTTACCATAGCTGTGTATTATGCAGCAGTTACTGGCATACAGCAAATGCTCTGTATAGTTGTTGAACAGAATCCTTTTGAGTAATTTTATGCAAATAGCTGTTTGCTGCTCTTTCCAAAGATACAACTACAAGGAGTAAAGGGGAGGAACATTTTTTGTTGTTGTTCTTATATTTTCCTGAGGTTTCAAAACTTGATTTGAAATATTGCAAGTTTCTTATGGAAGAAGCTTACTGTTACACCATATTGGATGGAGTGGGAACAGGGGTAACTTTGGATTGTAGTTTTAGCTTTATAATACTAATCTTGTTTCACATTGAAAATAATGTCTATCAGTGTATGTTTCCATTGTCAGCAACTTTTTGGATATTCCAGTGAATTAAAAAAGAAAAAAAAAATCAATATAGCATAGCTATAATCTGCTTTTCAGTACGGTTTGGAGTATGCTTTCTACACAACTGCTAGCTTCAATATTTCATTTCTAGCATAAAAGGCTGTGGGTGGTAAACGGAATAAGGCTTGTCTTGTAGAACACGTGTTACTTGCCTCAGTTTAAAGAAAAGGATGTGTTTAAGCCTCTCAACAATGTTTCTTTTGTATTTCCCTCTTTTCTCAAAATTGTTTTAGAAGCTGGAAAATGAAGAGGACTTTTTTTTTCTGGACCTGTCCCTTCCTCTCCATTTATTAAAACTTTGCTTTCTTACCTATTTAGTGTTTTCTTTAAATCTTAAACCTTTTGTGTATGGGTTTAAACCAGTAACGTCTCAGTCATACCTTGGAAAGAATCATTGGAGACCAAACACAAAGACTAACTGTGAATGTTTATTGGTGGCTGATGGTGATAATCAGGATTAAAGATGCATGGATGGTTCAGTGTTTTTTTTTTTTCTCTATCACTCTCTCTCATGTATGCAAGAGCTACAGCTCTTCAAAAGAAACTGCTGAATAACCACCACCTGTACCACCACCTGTTTATCAAGGTTATATTTGACAATAGGAGGCTGCCCGTGCTATGATCTTAAAGATGTCCACATTCTTCTACTTACATTTTTTTCATAACTCACTTTAGTAAATATTCATTGTAAATATATTCATTCCTAAAAATCTTGAGACTTCTAAGATGCATACAAGTAGGGTACTTAATTTGGATACGTGCAAGAACTATAGCCTACTCTGCAAACTTCATTACCTCCTATCATGACATTCTTACTAAATGTAATAGGCCTTGTGTGGGTCAAAGTATCTGGCCTCCAAGTGTTAGGTGGCTGGAAGATGCTGGCTCCACTCCTTCTTCCTCAGTTCATTCCGTCTGATTTTTCCAGTGATTGTCTTTGGCAGCTGCTCGACAAATTCAATCTGATGCAAAAGAGGAAAAAAGTAAAATGATTAGACCTAATTTATAAAATTTTGATTCAGAATAGCAGTGGTCTCCACATTATTTGGTTTAGATAAGAATATAGTGACTAGGGTAACACTGCATTATCTGAAAATAGATATGAGTTATCTATTATTTTCCAATCTATCTTTGAAAATAATGTTTGTTGTATTTACTGTGAAGTACAGGCTTAGCTTTTTGGTCTGTTAAAAGACCTCATGTTAAGAGCTGAGTCTAATCTTTTTACTCAAAACCTTTCCATATTTACTTGCCTTTCTGGGGTACTTGTATGGAGCAGTGACTTTCTTAACATGATCTTGCAATTCGCAGGTCAGATTCTTTGCATCTTGTGACTTACCAGAAGGAGATAAGACCACAAAAGCCTTTACCACCTATGAAAGGAAAATAATGAGAATTACAGTATTAATTAAATTAGAGCAAGCTAGCAAATACGGCATTTAATTGAGAATAAATGAGCATGGCCTGCAATACAAGCTTGCTGTTTCAGACCTGCGCTTTAAGTAAATCTAAAATAGGGACTAAGGAATGTTTCTACCCCACATGAATCCAGATATTAAGTAGTACAAGAAAAAGTTTCAAAATCTGCTTCCAAAGCTGTAGGAGTTCTGTAAAGGACTGTTTTACAGTTTTTAGACTCTAGGGCTTTTTCTGTACACCAGTATTGTTAAATTAAGGAATGTAATTCTCCAGGTAGTGGATGAAATAGTACTTCAGTTCTGACCAGAGTCACCTTTATATACAGTGGCCTGTTCTTTACAAAACTAATGATCATATGAGTCTATATATACATACAGAACCCGGGGCACACAAATTTTCCATTCCTGTTGCTGTTGATAAATGGTGGAAACATTTGGATAGCTCTATGAAGAGTCTTGGGAATTCTGTGGAAGTTGAGCATAGCCTCTGTGAACAAGTTACCTTATGAACAGCAAAGGGACCATTAATTACCTCTCCTCTGACAGCATCAGGGCTGCTGACAACAGCTGACTCCACAACAGCTGGGTGCTCTATCAGGGCGTTCTCTATTTCAAATGGTCCGATACGATACCTAGAAGAGAGAAAATAAATGCTTCCTAGAGGAAAGGTATACAGGTATCAGACAATTCCTGGCATTTTAACTGAAATCTACAAACCCCGAGGAGATGATGACATCGTCAGACCTCCCTGTAAACCATACGTATCCATCCTCATCCCTGCGCCCTCTGTCTCCAGTGATATAGAAGTTTCCACGGATTGTCGAAGCCGTTTTCACTGGATCATCCTGTCGACAAAGCAACGGTTAAACATTCTAAATACTGAGAAGCTTTAAGCTTAGAGATGAGCTTTGCCTCCTTGGGCACTATCCATATCATCTTTCATTGCACTCTTCTTGTCTAAAAAAGTGTAAGAGGTTGTGCTTGTTTTTTGCAGAGGGGATAATGTACATACAGAACTGAAGGTCAAACAGTAGATCTACAGAAGAACATGGCACAGAATTGAGGTTTCACGTCAAATAGTCCTTGCTCTGTCAAAAAAGAAATACCTTATTTCTATAAAACTATGAATGTCTTACCTTCCAACTAAGACACAATGCAGAGGCAGGGTGAGAAACGTCATTTTTTATCTAGCCCTGACTCAGTTGCTTTTCCTTGGGGCATTTTTAACTGTACCCTGGCTGAGTTACAAAGGTTGAAGATTTTCAGATCTGAGCAAAGCAGTTCAGTTTCTTATCAGCCAATCCTTGCTGTACACTTTTCTGGCTAGAAAGGGATAAGCTGTGGAAGGAATAAATATAGATACTCCATATCTGTGTCTTATTTGGGGTGCATTTCCAGAAGCTCCTCTTGCCTTGTGAGCTGTCTCTCATTGTGAAGAGGACAGCAGATCAGTGTACCACAATGAGAGGAAGAACAAGCAGTGTAGGAGCTGCACCTCGGAAATATGCTGGGAACAAGGACCTTTTATTTTGAAATTGGGGAAAGGGGCAGCAGCTTCATCTACTGGTGTTACAAGAGTCAAGGCGAGATGCCACAAAGTCTCTGAACCAAAAACAGCCACAGTTTGTTTGTGCTGCACCTCTTACTATTGGTATAAACACATTCTACCCTGCAGGCCTAGAGCAGCTTTCTGGAAATTTGCTGCCGACTTACCAAGTAGCGACTGAAAAAAGTAAAAGGCCGTTTGGCATTGATTTTGATGGCAATGTCTCCTTCTTTACCAGGAGGGAGAACGCTGCCATTTTCATCCAAAATCTGCAATAAGACAGACATATGAGTGATTAGAGCATCCCACTGTAAGAGAGATGGTTCTGAACACCAACAAACCAATGGATCCGCTGACAAAGTTTGACTCACAGCCCTCATGTGACTGTACAGTACCGAAGGTTGTACTGTATCCTGTACTTTCCTGTGTTTTACTTTCAAGAAATCAACAACCAACAGAAAATGAGACCAACATACCTGAACATCATAGGGGGGAGTTGCCTTTCCCAAGGAACCTGGTTTAATTTTCATTCCTTTCGTATTTGCACATATAATTCCCTGTTGCAAAAGAGAAACAATCAGCCCAGGTATTTTTTCCTTATTGCTGCTGAGGCTATTCCTGTTCTTATCCTGTGCTCACTGTTGAGCTTGCTTAAGATCTAAATATTCCATCTGTGAACCAAAAAGTTTATGGACTTCACTGAGAAACTTGGATAAGAAAATCAACATGTTTCAAAGCTAAAGTCTTAAAAGCAACATCAAAACCAATTTGTAAGCAAAATAATAAATCCTCTTGTAGGCAACTGTCATAAACCCTAACATGATTTTTTTTTCAGTGTGTGTAAATAAATAAATAAATATATATATATATATATTTAGCAAAAAGAATGTTGTATGCATGTCCTCTGAGAATTTTAAGTGACATTTGAATGGTAACAT